CACAATGGAGACCCACCACCTCTTGGAAGGCTCAGGACAAACTGTTCTTAAAACTAAGCAGAAAACTGTACCAACAAAAGTCACTGAAAACTTCTCAGATGTTTGGTCACATTTCTGTGCAACCCTAGCTGAGAGGATTTTGCTTTGTGGAAAAAGTAGTGTGGAGAAAAGAAGAGAGAATATGCTTCCTTAGAGGAAAGTAGGAGTGAAAGTGAGATGGTGTGTGTCATCCTATACACCAGGCATAGGTACAGTTGGTGAGCTGTGCTATTCTTTCCCAGTGCAAGGTTTACACATCTTAAAGCCTTACGTCTTGGGTGTACCATGTGCCATGTCTGTGCCCTCACATTATCTCACTTAATTATTTTTAACTTCTTATTTTTTTATAGAGAAGGGGTCTCTCTATGTTGCCCAGGCTGGTCTCGAACACCTGGGCCCAAACAATCCTCCTATCTTGGCCTCGCAAAGAGTTGAGATTATAGGCTCATGCCACTGCACCTGGCCTTCACTTAATTCTTATAACCAGCCCATAGGTGGTTATTATTATCTGCCTTTTACAGGTGAAAGAACCAGTTTAGACTGGTTATATGGCTTGCCCAAGGCCCCCCCGATAGTTGGTTCTTTATATTATATCATCATGCTGTCTCCCTGTCATGATCGCCAAGGCTCAGAACCCATTTTTACTGCATTTTACTAAGGGGACTACAATAAATAGTGGACTTTCTTCCAAGGAAGAGTCTATTATAATGCAATTGGCAAAGTGCAGGTCACTGTCATATTAAGAATAAAGAATGTGTCTAAAAACTTATTTTTTAAAAGGCTAGAGATAGGTCAAAAGCAGTGACTTTTGGGACACGGATTAAAGAAGCTAACCCATTAACAACTCAAATGGCATGGCCCTCTGCCAGTTACCAAGTATTTTCATTATCACTTTTGATCTTATCATCACAATTTATCTGTGAGGACACATGACATTATCCTCACTTAAAAGATGAAGTAGCTGAAATACAGAAAAGAGAAGTGATGTACTTAGAGTAACTCAGCAAATAGGTGGAAATGCCAGCATTACGACAAAGATCTGTCTGACTCCAAGTACAAAGAGGACAGGAAAATCTATGGAGCCATTTATCAAATACTTAGTCTAGGCATTGGGAACCTTTACATCCAACCATCTCTCCAATCTTCCCTTGCCTGGTGGTATTTCTATCATCTCATTTTAAAGACTACAATACTCTTAATTATTCTTCTGGGTTCAGTCTTTATTCCAAGTGAATTCATCTTTCCAGGTTGACAGTGAGATATAACAGAAAGAATTACTACCTTCACATTTAATTGCCAGCTCTGCCACTGTGTGGCTATGTGATCTTGGTTAAAACACTTCATTTACAGTTTCAGTTTAGAAGCTATAAAATTCAGATAATATCTGCCTGGTATAAAAGGTTTTGGATATGAGTTTGAAATCCACTTCTTTGAGCTTTTTTATTTCTTAACTGTAAAGTAAGGATACCCCAATCTCATAGGGTTGTTGTAAGAATTCAATTACATGGTACCTATAACGTGCCTAGCACTTTAATACATAATGGGAACACATAATGGGAACTCAATAAATAGAAGACAGCATTATTATTATTTCACAGGCTGTTTGTTCATATACATCATTAATTCATTCATTTAACAGGTATTTACTGAGTATCAGTTAGGTTTCAGGTACTATCCTAGGTGGCAGGAATGTAGCAGTTAACAAATAAAGTTCCTGCCCTCTAAGAACTTTTATTCTAGTAGTGGGGAGACAATAAACAACTATATACCTATTACGTCAGACAGTGAACAGTTCAGTGGAGAAAAAGAGCAGGATAAGAGGAATAGGGGTTGTCAGTCTGGCAGGGTGGGGAAGGTAGCGCAAAGAGGGGAGGGAAGGAAGACTATTATTTTACATGGGTTGGTCAGCAAAGGCCTCAATAAAAAGGCAGTATTTGAGCAGGAAGTGAGAGCATAAGCACTATCTAGAGGAGGACTATTTTAGTAGAAGAAAGAGCAAGTGCAAGGCCCTGAAGTGGCCACATGTTTCATGGTGTTGTACAAATAGCAAAGACAACAGGGTAAATGGAAATGACTGAGTGGGAGAGGGGTCAGAGAAATGCCAGGTAATTAGATCAAGAAAGGTCTTTCATTCTGAACTGGATGGGGAGCTATTACAGGGTTTGAAAAGATAAGTGATGTGATTTGCCTTATTTAAAAAATCACTGTCTTTTTTGAAAACAAGACTGAAGGGGATCGCAGATGGAGGCAGAGGCCAGTAGGACATCACTATAATCATCTGAACAAGACAGTATAGGGGTTTGGGTTAGGGTTCACTTGTAGAAGTAGTGAGAAGTAGATTCTGGGTATACCCTGAAAGTAAAACCAACAGATTTTGCTTATGAGTTGGATGGAGAAATGAGAGAAAGAGTCATCAAACATAACACTAAGGTTTCTTGCCTGAACAAAAAGAATGAAGCTGACATTTAATGAGACAAGGAAGACTATGGGTGGAGCAGGTTTGGGGGGATAGTAGGAATTAGGAGTTCAGTTTTGACTATGTTTCATGTGAGATGCCTACTGGATGCTAAGTGGAGTAGACAGCTGTATGTAGAAATGTCTGGAGATGAGAGAATTTAGACTGGATATATACATTTGTGAATTGTAACTGTGTATATTACATTTATCGCCATAAGACTGGATGAGCTCACTTAGATAATGACAGTAGAAGGAGATCAAAGGACCGGCATTTATTGAGCACCTGCTATGTGCTAGTAATGTGAATCTGTAAATTATGGAATACTGTATGCGTAATTATTCTTACTGTGATGATAATCATGATGACTACATCATTCTGTTACTCAACAGATTTTGCATGGAATAAAGCCAAGCTCCTTTGCCTGGTATTCCAGGTTTTACATATCCTGTCCTCAATCTTCCTTCAGCCTTTTCTCAGGACTTTATTATACAAAGCCCCCTTGTTTCAGCCAGTTTGGTCTACACTCTACCATCTAGCCATGGCTTTGTGCTTTTCAACATTAGCCCTTTTTTCTCAAGCTGTCCTAGCTATTGGAGAATGTTCTTCTCTTAGCAACCCACCAAAAAATCCTATCTATCTCAGTTTTGTTTAACTGCTATATCTTTTAAACAGCCTTTCTTGGTTACCTAGGCCATCGAGAGTCTACTGCCCCTTTGGCTTGTCTATTCTTTGGACCTACTGCAAGAACTGCATATAGGGATTGTTTGTATGAGAGGCTGAAATATTCTTAAATGTGGGACCATGCCTTATTCCTTGGCATGACAATAAGCAGAGTGGTGGGCAAAACAAAACTGTATTGGATAAACAGGGTGTGAAATACAAGTAAGTGTATATTTTACCAGCATTTGGCAGTGACCCAGAAATAGGAATTACAAGGTAAAATGAGGAAATCAGAGATAATGAAATCTTTCCAAATATATAACACTGAGCTTCATTTACATGTTGAAAGTATTTTTCTAGATGATAATCCACCTGACTGATTTATTTCTTATCAGGCTCAGGAGGCATGATAACATAAGGATTAAGAACACAGGCTCTGCAGTCATATACCTAAGGTTTGTATTTAGTTTTGATATTTACTACAACATTGGGCAAGTTACCTAACCTCTTTTTTGTCTCAGTTTCCCTATTCCAAAGCGAATATGAGTATTTATCTCAAGGACAGTTTTTAGGATTAAGTGAGATAATGTATATAGGGCACTTAGAATAGTGCCTCGTATAGTAAGCCCTCAATAAATATTATTAAAAAAAATTTTTATCCTGAACATTTGGCTATAGGATAATCATCATGCTCATCATCACTTTTCATATTTGAATGGTACCTCACAAGTTACAATGCATTTTTATGCACATTTCCTTATTTGAGCAATAAGTCCTGGGAGATAAGCAGAATTTAATGTTTCTATTTTATAGAGAACTGAGATTTGGAGAGGGGGGTGTGCCTTGTTCAAGGTTACACAGCTACTAAATGATCTTCTGATTCTCAGTTCCTTCCTCTGTATCATTGTTTTCTCTCTTTTTCATCTAGTCAATCATTCTAGTGATAAAGCAGAGACCCCTTAGAATTATGAGTTTTCAGACTGATTCAGTGTGTAAGGAAAGCATCACTGTTAGGGGATAGGAAAGGGGAGATGTTAACTGAAAAGTACAAAGTTACAGTGAGACATGAAATATAAGTCCTAGACACTGACTGCACAGCATGGTAACCACAGTTAATAATAATGTATTAAATATTTCAAAATTGCTAAAAGGGTAGATTTTAAAAGTTCTCACCTTTTTAAAAAGAAAGTAGGTGAGGTGACGATATGCTAATTAGTTTGATTCACTCTTTCTACAACGAATATATATATATCAAAAGATCACATTGCACCAGGTGCAGTGGCTCATGCCTGTAACCCTAGCACTCTGGATGGCTAAAGTGCGCAGATCATTTGAGCCCAGGAGTTTGAGGCTAGTCTGGGCAACAAGGCGAAATCCCATTTCTATAAAAAATACAAAAATTAGCTGGGTGTGGTGTCTTGCACCTGTGGTCCCAGCTACTCAGGAGGCTGAGGTGGGAGGATCACTTGAGCACAGGAGGCTGAGCCTGCAGTGAGCCATAATCACGTCACTGCATTCCAGCCTTGATGACAGGCACTCTGTCTCAAATGACAACAAAACTGCATCACATTGTACCCCATAACAATATAAAATTATATGACAATTAAAATTTTATTTTTATTTATTTTTTTGAGATCATGACACTGCACTCCACTCTGTTGCCCAGGCTGGAGTGCAGTGTCATGATCTAGGCTCGCTGCAACCTCTGCTTCCCAGGTTCAAGTGATTCTCGTGTCTCAGCCTCCCAAGTAGAGTAGGTGGGATTATAGGTGCATGCCTTCACACCTGACTGACTTTTGTATTTTTAATAGAGGCAGGGTCTCACCATGTTCATCAGGCTGGTTTCAAACTCCTGGCCTCAAGTGATCTGCCTACCCCAAGTGCTGGGATTTCAGGCATGAACCACTGTGCCCGGCTGACAATTAGAATTAAAAAAATTTAACACTTCTCTTTTTCTGGCTGGAACCATGGGGGGTACAGAAGAGAAGAAGGTTCCTGCTGTGCCGGAAACCCTTAAGAAAAAGCAAAGGAATTTCTCAGAGCTGAAGATCAAGCACCTGAGAAAGAAGTTTGCCCAAAAGATGCTTTGAAAGTCAAGGAGGAAGCTTATCTATGAAAAAGCGAAGCACTATCACCAGGAATATAGGCAGATGTACAGAACTGAAATTCGAATGACAAGGATAGCAAGGAAAGCGGGCAACTTCTATCTACCTGCAGAACCCAAATTGGCATTTTTCATCAGGATCAGAAGTACCAATGGTGTGAGCCCAAAAATCCAAAAGGTGTTGCAGCTTCTTCACCTTTGTCAAATCTTCAGTGGAACCTTTGTGAAGCTCAACAAGGCCTCAACTAACACGCTGAGGATTGTAGAGCAATATACTGCATGGGGGTACCCAAATCTGAAGTCAGTAAATGAACTAATCTACAAATGTGGTTATGGCAAAATCAATAAGAAGCGAATTGCTTTGACAGATAACGCTTTGCTCGATCTCTTCATAAATATGGCATCATCTGCAAGGAGGATCTGATTCATGAGATCTACACTGTTGGAAAATGCTTTAAAGAAGCAAGTAACTTTCTGTGGCCCTTCAAATTATCTTCTCTAGGAGGTGGAATGAAGAAAAAGACCACCCATTTTGTAGAAGGTGGAGATGCTTGCAACAGGAAGGAGCAGATCAATAGGCTTATTGGAAGAATGAACTAAGGTGTCCACCATGATTATTTTTCTAAGCTGATCAGTTAATAAACAGTACTCGCTCTCAAGCTGAAATATATTGTTGTCTTTGTGATTTTTTTGTTGTTGTTGTTAGCCTGCCTCTGTCTTCCCTTCACTATTGTGGTAAGTCTGGTGTGTGATAAAATTAAGCCAAATCAACAGGCCGTTACATGCAAAATTAGGGTCTAGTTTGTGTGGAAGATATCTCTTGGGTTTTTAAAAGGCTTTTCTCTACAAAAGATCTTAATTTTTTGCCTTTGAACTGTGTTGAATGATTCAAACTGGGATTATTCTAAGAAAGACTGTTTCACAAACATTTGTACATGATTTGTAGGTAAAGTAATACAACTTTGGTTTATGGAAAAAACTGAATTTAGTTGCTAAAATTCATTTTTCAGGCTTTTCCTTGTTTATAAACTACCATGTAAATGTGTTGTTTTCCTTTTGCATTCCATTTTTGTGTTCCTGTTTTGCATCTTTTGCCATACTTAGGTGAATTACTAATAACTGTTACATATTGTGGGTATCATGAATGAAGAAATAAAATTTGTGCCCAGGGATGAAAATTATTTCAGAGCATCTGGTGAAATTAATGAGCAAAAACTTGAAAGGTTTTGGGTATTTTATAAATAACATTCCTCTATATTTCATGTATCATCTCACCTAGACTAGTGAACAATGTAGAGTGTAACATGAAGTACACACAGTAAAAGTAAAAATGTTTGCGGTCCTCAAAAAAATTTTAAATATAATTTAGAAAATAATAAATTTATTAAAAAAATGAATAACCTGAAGAAATATAAACTGCGCTTGCTAGTACTTTTCCTTTTAATTATGTTGCTGTTGTGTCAGGTTAGAGTTTCATATACAGACAAGCAGCAGCTGTATTACTCTTTTAAACCTTTTGCTATTTACATTCTTTTGGATGTTGTAAATATTATGTAAACCATTTTTTACCAAATGACTTCTACCTATAAATTCAGGTGTGCTGTCAAAATAATCTAGGAGCATTTTTCTTTACAACATAACTTTTGAAAATAAGGCAACTGAGAGAGGCGTAAGGGGCAGTCCTCAGTGATCATTAATTAATTGAATGTGTACCCTCAAGCAACTAATGTCTCCTCAAGACCTTATGTTCCCCTACTAAAACCACACCTGTCTTGGTATCTCCCAACGCTGACACAAGAGGAGTAGGATAATTCTGTGAATGTATATGGTACCTTAGTGAGGTCTCTTGTTTCTTTCAGTCAAGCAGTTTATTGTGGTTTAATGGTGAAATGCATGCGGTGAGGAGGTAATCAGAAGTGTGAGAACTGAGCAGGAAAAGGGGATGGTGTGAAATTTTGAAAGATTTTATATGCCATGGTAAGGAGTTTAGACTTTTCCTGTGGGCCATTAGAACCACTGGAGGCTTTTAAGCAAGGGGGCGGGGTGAGGGGGAGAGAGGGAGAGAGAGAGAGAGAGACAGAGAGAGAGAGATAGAGAGAGAGAGAGAGAGAGATCATCAAAGCTGTTTAAAAAAATAACTCGAGAGACAGTGGGGAGGATAGATGTGGGGAGGCAATGCTGGAGGTAGGGAGATGAATTAGGAAGCCATAGGTTTAATTTGGACTATGACGACTTGGGCAGTGGTATACAGGGAAAGCGAATAAAAAAACAGATTTGAGAGAAGTTTGCATGGAAAATTAATATTGCAACCATCTAGATATTAGTTGTGTTCCATTACACAATCTTAGTTATTTTAATCTGAATGTTGATTATTCAGGGATATTGGAAAATCTCAAATAACCAGATATAGTGATATAAAATACCTGAGGGAAATGGAACAAGCTCAGCAGCAGTACCTTTAACACGTAGTTCACCAATTAGATGCTTCATCTTGGTTTATTTTGAGAACAAAGCTTTTAAGATATAGGTCGTTCAATGGCATTAAAGTTTTTCCTTCTGGCTCTTGTTTTTTAAAAAAATAAAACTTAGTCTAATATAAATTGAAAATCAATCCCACTGCAATATTAGAGGTATTAACATATGAAGGTTGCTGAAGTACAAAATATTTAAAAACACTGGTGCTTGCTGCTGCAATTTATTGCATTTACTAGGTGGTCTCTAATGTTGATTTTCTAGTTCTATGACTCTAATTTTAAAGTAGAAGTCTATAATTTATTAACAGTTTTTTAAAAGGACTCAATAATCTCAAAAAGCAATGGTCATGAGAAAACTTGGGTGTCAGTATCAGCTCTGCTTTTATAACTGTTCAAGTGACTTAAGTGCTTAATTTGATTCTCCCATCAGTAAAGTGGCAGCATTGGCCTTCATATCTCTGAGATCCTTTGCAAATATCAGATATTAAGATTTCAATGATATATTCTTAAGGCTGGGTTACATCTAGATATTTGAAACTCAAATTTGATATCCATCACTGTTCTAGAGAAAGAATTTACTGCTGCCATGCTTTCTTTACCTATAAGCCCTTCCCACCTCTTCTGCCTCTGTCTATTTAGGTTTTATGTGGTATCAACACAGTAATTTATATTCATTTAATATAACCCTTACCATAACCCTCTCAGATATTATCATTTCTCTTTCAAAGATGAAGAAATAAAAGTTCAACAGGGTCAAGTAAGTTGTCCAATGTTCAGTGTAATGGAGTGAGATTCACATGCAAGTCTACCACTGAAACATTTGCTTCTGACTGTGTTATTCTGCTTCCACTCACTGAACATCTCTCTGTGCAAGGCTCACGTCAAATTCACTTCCTTTTTAACGCTGAAACTAGTTATCCTTCTAACTGTGGGTATAATTTGTAATGCAATTTGCTTTAGATGTGTGTTTTTACTAGAATGTGAACTCTTCAAGGTCAGTAACAATTTTTTAAAAATTTCTGTATCACCAGCGCTGGTATGAAGGCTGACACAGAGTGGTTGCACAGCAAATGTTTTGCTATAACGAGAGAACAAATACATGAATTAAATGTGAATTAAACTGCTTTTATTTCCTTATGGTGGCAAACAGTATCCTTGTGTTATCTATGAAGTCAGGTCAAACTTCATCTAGCAGTAGCTTGCCATTGTTTTTCTTCACTGTGTTTGCATTGTTTAGCTTGGTTCTTAGCACAATAAAAGTGGGTGGTGACAGAGGAAGGAATTTTTATAAATTTGAAAGGCTTTTTTTTCCCCAGTACATTTAAAAAAACCTTTACTGAAGGCCTACCCTAGGAAAATCCTGCTGGAGTGTGCTTATACTCATTCTCCTGCTCCTTTAAGTCTTAGAGGGTGACACAATAATTATAAGTTATAGTTACACAAAAAGAAACCTAGAAAGATGGGATAAAATATAAATTCCTTCATTACTTTGTTTTAGAGATAAAATATAAGAATATAGTTTATTCCTGAATGCATGTCTGTTTGGTGATTCATACCCATAAATCTGGAAAAAGGCATATTCTCTAGGCTAGAACAGGTTGTATGTATGTAATCATACAACAGAGTTGTGTGATTGTATCACTGGCAATACACATGGGCTATCAGTGGACACCTGGAGTTCACCTGCCATTCCTCATCCTCCTTTTCTAGTTCTTTCCAGTCATTTTGTAAACTGAAAGACCTTGTTCTCCAATTTTAGGTAGAGCTCCTCTGAAGAATGTGGATATGGGTAGGCAAAAAATGGACTTAGATGAGCCTTAATGAAATTCTTGGTTTTATGAATTGAAAGACCTCACTTTCCAATCGTAGGCAGAGCTCCTCTGAGGGATGCGGATATAGGTAGACAAAAAAACAGAGAGAAGAGTTGTGGGATAAAGAAATAAGGAGAAGGGAAGAATGGAAAGATGGGGGAGAAGATAAAACTGGTAAAATAGGATTGGAAAAAAGAGAAGGGGAAGAAGAGGGGGGAGGGGAGAAAAGGGAAGATAAGGAAGTGGCACAGAAGAGGAAGGCTGGGGGATACTGACAACCTCATGACAAGTGGCATGAGTGATAATCAGCTTTTCTGGGAAGGGCCTATGTCTGGGCCACTGTAGGTCCGGAGAGGAGCTGGGGGGCTGGCAGCAGTCCCTTACTCTAACTCAGAGACAGGAGTTGGACTATAGGAAGAGTAGTGGGGTGAGTGCCCTTACTCAGCTTTTAGGATTCAACTACCTTATTTCCAATACAATGCCCAAGTAAGGCAAATGGGCGACTGATGCTCACATGGCTCTAACATGTCCAAGAGGTAGAGCTCTGGAAATAAATACTATTCCTTCTCTTAGTAATTGTTATTAGCAAAATAGGGGAAACACACACACACACACACATACACACACTCACAAAATCAAGTAACTCAATGCTTCCACAACTTAACAATCAGCTTTTCTGGGGAAGGCCTAAGTCTGCTGCTATTCTGGTTGTCGTACAGTGCTCAGTTCAGGGAAGTATGCCCAGTAGACATTTAGTAAATGGTTAGACAGCTGGGAAATCTTAACATGAAGTATTATTTTGGTTGGGGGTGGGTAGCAGGCATGGGAGGTACAGAAGAACACTTAACAAGTCCTCTGCTGAGAAACCAGTCTCTGCTTTGTGGAGAAAAGGCTGAAGACACAATTAAGACTCCTAGAGTTAAGGCTTATATTATTTGTTATTAAAGAGGCAAGGTCTTAAGATGTGCTTTTTAACAGTCTTTAGTTTGGCTGTAATTTAAGATGACTTTTACAAATTAGAGCCTAATCCTTGCAGACACAGATGGCTGTTACAGAATAGCCTTGCAAAAACACTAGTCATTTGACTTGAAAGATAACTCAGAGAAGAATGAAGGGTCTTTAACTCTCACCCCACCCCTGGCTCTAGGAGGCCTAAAGAGTCCTGGGTGGGCTTTCTTAGTTTAGGTCTGGAATCTGGGTGGGCCTAGAGCATCTGTTCTTATTTGGAACAGCCTCTCTGTCCATTCTGGAACCAGAGATTAGGGGAGCCTGAGGTTGTTAACATTCAACAACAGTTACTGATGCTTATGTGTGAGGCACTATGCTGGCAACCACAGGGAGATAGTAGCAGGCCCCAGAACACTCTGCATTTCGCTGCACATTTCTCCTGCTTCCTTTCAACAGGAACTTTCCACGGTCCACAGTTTTACCCTGTGGGAAGAAGTTCTTAATACTGATCAAAAAGCCTAGCTTCTTTTAAGATATTTTTACCCCATCCCTGTCAGTAACAAGCTTTAAAGTTTAATTTGAAAGAAAATAAAGTTTAAGTTTAAAAGACAGAAAGTCCTTAGACTCTATTTCTTCTAGTACCTCCATTTTTAAAAATGAGGCCCACCCAGAAAGGGAGTGACTTAAAACTAAGGGTTGGGAAGGGCAAACTTAGCTCCTAAGTTTTTTAAGTTCTCTGAGGTGAGATTTTCATCAAAGAACATAAAGTATGAGAACCAGGCTGATCTTGAACCTTCTGATAATGGTTCTTTGTTAAATGTTCACACACTGAGAGTTCAACTTCAGTGACAGAAGTTAAGGTAGTTTTCTTACTTGGCTGTGTGATGAGAACATATGTAGGCATGTGTTCCCTTGTGCATGCCTGTATGCCTTATATACAAATAAAGGGGATGACCTTGGAGCAGTAGGCAGGGCTAGTGAGAAAAGGAACAATAGTCAGGACCTGGGAATCCACTATAGTCTCCTGGGCTTAGAAATAAATAAGTGGCAAGATCCTCTTTCCACCCAGAGAGGATA